CTGGGCTAGGAAGGTTTCGGCTGTTTTGAGCACTCCAAAAAGGCATAGAAGAAGGGGATCCAAAGCTTGGGGTTTTTATGTGGAACTTTAAGGCAATTCAAACCGTCTACTTTCTGCCAAATAGTTCCCGCTTACATACTCCCTCATGTTTAATATACAATTGAAGCATGGCACCCATGGCTTAAACGGTATCTAACGGCCTTGAAGATTCCGCAACGTCGGACAACCAAACACGTTAAAGAGCTGCGCCACTTGTCATACGAACAGCACCTCAGAGTGCTTGGCATTTTCAGCGGACGTTATCGGCGTTTACCTAGTGACTTAATCATGGCTTACCAAATTTTAAACAGCAATAATCACCCGGTCCATCACCGGTTGAAGCTGAGTCACAACAGCCAACTGAAATGTCATCAGCTCAACTTGGCAGAACAATACAGTCGGTTGGAGTATCGAAGAAAGTTGCTCCCGCTGCGTGTTTGCCACACATGGAATAACCTCTCAGAAGCTGTTATTTCAGCACCCACGTTAGCCGTTTTCAAAGCACGTGTCGAAGTTTCACTGGCTGTACTACACCATATCACATAACCCAAACAACCCACACAAACAGTAGGAAAACGAAAACAAATCAACGCTCCTCTATTTTTATCTTGGAAACCTCAGACAACAACCTTAGATAATACATAAAACCAAGTCTGAACTGCATAGACTGGATGACTGTAACTGGCAAATTCGCAATTTGCGGTTGTTCGCTATTTCTTAGTGCTATTTTTAACTTCAATTTGTTCACCCCTAACCGGACGTCTGACGGGACATGTTAAGCTTAGGCTTTTTTCTCCGCAATATAAATTGACCATTGACCAGTACCTGTTCAAATGCAAATGCGATGAAGTTTTATATTCAGGACTAAAAGCAGACTAGCCCTAAGGAAGACTGAATACCTCCCAAAATGGCTACGGCAAGCATTGACTCAACAAACTGGTGCGCATCAACTGAAGAGTCGCAGCCCTGTCACGCCCATCACAAGGCATCTCGTATTGCCTCGTCATCAAGTGGACCAACCAACCGCATTCAATGCGCTGTTGCGAGACCGGAACGCAAAAGACTTGCTATCCTCGAGGTCTTACTTATCCCTAAGTATGGCCCGGTATTGTGTGCACAGAAGCAACTGAGTCAATCTGTCAGACTACTCTGCTTTTGAATGATCATGTCGTTCCACGTGTTCGCTTCTGCTTCGTTCATAAACTTCTTGCGTTCGCGACTGAAAGGTTAACCTTTTTCGACTTATGTCTTCATTCTGCACTTAGTAAATGGATTAAGGAGAAAGTCTTGTTAAAATTCCACCTTCCGAAGGACAGCGCTTTGCCGCTGATGACTGATCCTCCTGCAAATACGTGCTGGTGTTGTTGTTAGTACTTGTTTGACTACTTACTGTGTGTCCAATAGGCGGACAATATTATCCCTAGCTTGGACAGCGATGAACATTTGAAGAATACTGTAGTCCTCTGATGGAAACAGTATAAGGTTATGCCTGATGTTTTTTCATGGTAACTTCTTATATTTTGTAGCGTACTTGGCCAGGTTGTACACCCACCGGAACCTCCTTACAACACCAGTAGGGTAGGTTAAGTGGAACGGCGAGGCATGCTCGGAGCTGGGAATGACAAACTGGGTTATATCATTCGTTGCAACTTTTCGCATAACTCTATTCTTATTTGCCAAGGTATTTGTTCCTGACCTTTTTAAATGACCAGCTGTCACTGCTCAAACATCGCTCAGGTATATTGCATGGTGTGACATAATTACCCATGGAAAATAAACTGTAGACTACTAAATTATGCTCATTGAATACGTACACAAAAGAAGTCACAAAGAGATTACTTTTCGACAAGTCTCCTCAGGGAAGTGCAATTATGACTGCATCACCCTTAGCATAGGAAGTTATTTAAAGAGTAGCACAATTATGCTGCGTCGACTTTGTAAATTGCCGCGGTCTGTGTCAAGTTTCTTATACACAGCCATAGATCGATGAGCCATTGTCAGCTGCCGGATCTATGGTCATGGGAGGATAATGTTTTGTACAGGCTTTTTTCACCCGCATAACTCGGGCTGCAAAATGTTGATCGTGATGGACCCCGCAGTGGCCATCCTACGGTTTCTGAGTCCTTTCGGTGATCGTTTAGATACAATGTAGAGTAATTTAAAGCAGTCCTTAGTTTGGGCATGATGTTCACTGATTATCAGATGCGTAAACATTTTGTTGTGGACCGTCTTGACGGCGTCGAGCCGCTATCCACTTCGAAAGACATCTGGTCGTGTGTCGGATTTACCGTGCACCACAGCTACAGATGAATGGGTATAAAATAAATGATTAGGACTGGATCGGCATTTTGTCGTTAAGGAGTTTTGGGACTACTGGTGCAATCTCATAAGGATCTGGACACTAGTTGGTGGATGGATTTCATGCAGTTATTGACAGTTTTCTATTCAGCTGGTCAATGGAGATATCCCCTTTGAACGGGACTGCAAAGAAGACGTCATTTGATGAGTGCCGTGGGGTACCCAGTACTTTCCTGTGTTTTGAGGTTGAAATACTTTTCGGCTTCCAAATTCTCTGGGCTGCAGTAAAGACAACGTACTGTTTCATTTGTATTTCATTAGTACAAAATGGAGAAAGTGCGTGTACTGTCCTACCTAATGTGATTTCCGGTAAACCCATTGTTCAATGGAACCATCATCTCTTCGCCGTAGCAAGGTGTCCAGAAAGAGTAGCTTGTCGTTCTCCACAGTCTCACAGATTAATTGTAACCATAGATGAGCATTGCTGAAACGCTACGTTTCACTTTTTTCACTGCTGACTGAAATCATAAAAGGTGGCGCTTAGAATCGAGATTGCAAACCGTAGCTAGTGGTCACCTTTGTTCCGTCACGTATCATTCCTCACCCACTTGCGTGTTACCACGCGGCAAGAAGCGGTTTTTGTCTAGCTATATTCCTTTAGTAAAATGACTACTTACTAATATATAGTAGTAAAATGCACTTGGAAAGCACCGCTATCAACTTTTAGGTTTGCTTGTAAATCGTGACGGTGTTCCGCTGTCCCCATGCCGCAGTGGTATTTACTTTTGGGTGGCGTTTCATGCCGCTAATGGCCATGGATTCGGGTTCTGCAGGAGCCGATGGGTGCGTACTGCTGACTAGACCCAACAAGGATGTGGAGGACTTTGAAGCTGCTGCGATGAACTGTTAAGTAATTGTTAAATTATATTACGAGTAGTGGGTAATATTTAGTCATAATTTTTAACGTATTCATCCCAGTAGCTTACAGGCTACATAGCACAGCCTAGTGCGAAAAAGTACCAGACGCGTCCCGTCCCCAGTAGGGGACCGGGGGATCGTACCCATGACCGCTGCAGGTAGGTGCCAATTGATCAGCAGCTTAAGCCACTGAGCCATATAGGAAACTGACCGCGCCACATAATTTGCAAGCAAACTGGGATATAGCACGACCTGTCTCCCACTGTCACTGACAGTAGGTAACCGGCAAGGCCATGACATCCCCTCGCTAGACGCTATATCCATAGCCTTTGAAACTAGGAGAGGCTATGTATATTTATATTACTCGAATAATTATGTAGCCCAGCCAAGGTCCACCACAGCTCAGTGGCTTAAGCTGCTGGCCAGTTGGCGCCTGCCTCTACCGGTCATGGGTTCGATTTCCCAGTAGAGGACGAAGGGAATGGGTACCTCAGGCGAGCCCCAGTAGGACGAAAATTTTCCTTCGCTTTTCCGGACTAGGCTGTGCAATCTAGCCTGTGAGCTACTGGGATGAATACCTTAAACATTATTAATTTAGCAATTCCATGATGGACGCTAGCTTCTAATTTCAGAACACATCTGTGATACACGCGCCCTATCACACGCTGCCATTAAATCAGCTTTTCGTCCATATCTTAACTTATGCTCAGAAAGAACATAAGCGCTGATTGGTCAGAATCATTAAAAAACGGCATACAATTCTTTGACCCTTTTCGGAACGGCCAGTGCCCGCTTTAGATAAGCAATGACATCTAATTGCTATTAACGGATCTTCAGCAACAAAGTGTTGAGTTCACAGGGCCGCTTAATTGATGGAACGAAGTTTAATAAAATACTACGAACACGATTAATTTGGCAAAACGACAGGTTTCCATGGAAAGAAAAGCACACAAAAACCAATGTTGGCTTTTTAATAGATGCACCAATAGATTCTCACTGATCGCAATGCCATGGTGGTCAAGACTTCAGCCGTTCACCATTAGGCTCAAAGTTCCACTCCCATCTCAGTTTACCGCTACTTGAAAAGTCCAAACAGGTTCGAAACGTGTCGTGCAGTGCCGTGAAGAGTGAAAGCAAAACCGAGACCCCTTTAATTCGGATACGTTCCTGTAGATTGCAGTGACCAAGATTTGCTTCAAAGTAAAACGAGGTGTCAGTGGATATTGGGTGGCACAATCCAGACACACGGCAAGCAGACTAAACCCAAGTTGATGGGTTATATACCCCATTCAAATTGATCACTTATTCAGTTACTCTGCGTATTCGACCGCAAATACGCACTCCCTTTTGTACCTGCTAACCGTGTAACAGGTTTTCGCGTTCTTATGTTCATACACGCCTGTGCAAGCCGCAAGTCTCAAGTGGGCAATTTTGGTGTCTATGGTCCATTCATCAGGCCGGGAAATTACCTGCGTCACATCCTGCTGCATTTTCGTCTGTGGATAAAAGGGCATTTTTGCATTACATGTGTCTTGTGTTTATAATCCGGTTCCCTGTGGACGTCATTATCATTTAAAACCCTAGGTAATATGGATTTAAATTCAAAAATCGGTTAGTACACTTCAGTGACACCGTTAGTCGTGAATGCAACACGTGTTAGAAGCACTTCTGGTCTCTTCTAAAGTCAGGCGCCATAATCATCATATAAATTTGTCTCTGAGTGTGCCGTATCTTGTCTGACTCACAACTTTCACTCTGTGTCCTGGCATCACTGTGATCTTCCATTGGCAATGCTGTTTGACTGGATATTCGTTCGGCCAATTCGGCGTGATTATTTCACCATCGGGTGACGTGATGTCTTGCTGGCATCCTGTCTTAATATCTACACCGAAAAGAGAATATGGAAGGGAGGAATAAAAAGTGAATTCACCATCTCAAAGTAACGACTTTAAGTGTAATCGTTCAAGATTTCGAGCAATTTAGACTGAAGTTCATTTTCGGGGATGGATAGTTCACTTTTCGACATTGGACAGGAGGAAAGCAACTTAAAAATGCACAAAATCTACAGGTCAACTGTATGGTTAGGAAAATTAAGTTGGTTATCCATTAAAATTAACTGAAAATTAGGGTAAAAGGATCTACAGCAAACAGGTGAAAACTATCACATAGCATCGTCTCAGTTATCGTGTTTATGAAATACTATAACATTATAATGAACTTGTACTCATTCTCAAAAATAGCGGAATTAATACCTCACCAGATCATTCAAGTACATTCTTATTCTGCGTTGTGTGCTACATTTTCCCATCGGTTGCTTGTAGATAGTTCGTAAACGTGCCAGGTAAGGTCTTCACACTATATCCTAGTGAAACACTGCTTAAATGTTTAGATTGTTTCTATATCTAACCAAATGCCAGACTTATTCTTCAGCTTGTCATAGAGAGTCACTGGTAGGTAGTGGCTGGATTGAGCTACTACAGGACACCTCAGCGACAAAGGATAATATCAAACGTCTGTCCTAGCATCTTAAATCACCCTTTCACAAAGCAGGCATATAATGCTTCAGCGAGCGAAATTGTACTCGATCAACCAAGAAGGATATACTGTGGTTATATCAAGCAGTACCTGGAGTACAGCCTACCGCAATGAAAAAGACTGTTGGCCTATTAACAACTTTGGAGAAGGGCACAACGTTGTGGTTGAATCTCGAATCAAAGATTCATAAAGTAGTGCTAGATGAACGGTTACATACTTTCTTTGCACTTGTATTTGCCGTAGAGCTGGTAACCGGGTCGACAAGCACAGTGGTAGGAGCCGATTGTGTTTCGACACAAATGTTGGCATCCTCCGTTGTTGTCAGCACACTCGTCCAGATCGGTGAAAAATACGGCACGGAAACCGGTGCGTTGTACCGAGGTGTCCGAATAGAATTCGATGCTAAGTTCATTGGTCTGGGAAGTGATTGGATCTGGGATGTGGTCTCCACAAAAGTTACCAATCTTTTGTTGATTATCCGATGGTCCACTGTACACGTTGATGAAATCGTATTTGCATGCTTGCTGAGATGGAACCATAAATGAACAAATGCATAGACTCTGCATACGAACAACTGGATGACGGTGGCTCTGGTCAGCAGTGATAAAGCGTCAACCAGATTCAAATAATTTCCGATGAAATCTTCGATACCTGAGTAACGCCATGGTACATTCCACTCAGTCGTAACAATTCATTATGCGCTTGGCATCGAAGGCAGGCAATTCTTCAGAATTATTATAATGAACAAGGGCAGTTGATAGATAGATAAAACACCAAAAGACGATGGAGTAATCTGTTCATTTTTATAATGGCTAAAATGAACGTTCGTTACACTAATAGAAGAACTGCGTCAATATCTCTTCTATGCATTACATTGCAAGTGGTATCATCGTTCTTTCACCACCAGCCGATGTCATACTCTGAGATAAATGTACAAAAGAAATATGAGGCCCTTTTCGGTTCACGTAATAGTTGCATAAATCTGAATATATTTTACACCTATTACTTCCAAAAAGAATTTCATTCAGTGTGGTTTTCGGCGGTTTCATAATATTTTCAGTTGTCCTAATCTTGATTATTTTACTATGTAAGTATAAATTCACCACTTCTAGACCCAGTCAGAGAATTGTTACACGCCAGGAATATCACCGTGGGTCTGTATCATTCTTTCAGATATCTTCAGCAGTGGGCATGATATCAGAACCATGTGGGGTTTAAATCCTCAACACGACTGTTGCCAATCTGCGCTTGAGACTACGGAGCTACGGGCGGACGGTAAAGACTGGCGTGATTCCGTTACTAGAGTTGGTATAGCACCCCTCATATTTTAGTATAAACAAGTTTTTTCCAGAGAGTCAAGCAAATTGAGCAACTGGGTGGATAAACGCCTCAAAAATAATCCCTTAATTGCCGAGTAAGTAGATAACTGCCTTTCTGAGCCTCTGATTGTAGCTAAAATTCAGAATAACATAAGCTAACCAGTCCGTCAGAGGTAGAAACCCAGAGAATATCCAATACGGTTAGGGGCATTCCAAAAGAGTAAGGGAAAACGCACTGATAAAGAGTTGTGCAAGGAATAAACGGATTCCCAGTAATTCGCCAGATGCGGTTGTCCCTCTAACCTAGTCAGGCATTGTAGACTGTCAACTGCTTCAAAAACTAAAGGCTCGTAGGTTCCTTTACATAGTAATTCTTTAATCAGTAACGTTGAAACGTGTTTCGCTCGAAGACTACTTGGTCGTCCGGTAGTCGAAGAATGCGGTCAAAAAGTATCTCAGCCCTATAGACCTATACGGTTCTCTGCCGTGTATAGTAGTGCACGATAGCTATTTGATGTCCTCTGTATCACATCAATCAGCGCACAGAATTGACACTGTTTCAGTCAACCTCCCGCCGTTTTGGCATCATGATCCAGCAATCTGGTTCTGTCAGGTCGAAGCACAATTCCATCTCCGGAATATCACACAACAGTCAACCAAGTTTTATCAGGTGCTTTCTGTGCTTCCACCTGAAGTTGCTGCGGATGTTCGGAATGTGTTACAAGCCCCAGATCAAGTCACCCCTTTCAACACTTTGCGCGACACTATCATCAAACTGACAAGGATATCAGAATATAAGCGTCTGAAACAACTCCTCAACGGTGCTGATCTTGGTGAAAGTACACCATCACAGTTACTTCGTCGAATGTACAATACTTTGGGAGATCGCCAGCTTGATTCCGCTCTTTTCATCCAACTGTTTTTGAAGCGCCTCCGTTCACATGTACAAACAATCCTAGCACCGTCGATTGACACCGTCCCCATCGACAAACTGGCGACTATGGCTGATCGAATTTTAGAAGTTCAACCAAATTCAACTTCTTTGTCTTCGATCAACTCAGCGACGGAAACACCTTCCATTGCCGACCAGATTAAGCTGCTTTCCGAACAAGTCGCTGAACTTAGAGCTTCACACTCTCGCCAATTTCGATGTTTTTCACGTCGACGATCAAACAGCAGAACTTACCGACCGAATTCTAACAACAGACAGTCTGACAACTACTACTGGTACCACAACAAATTTGCTCATAGAGCAAGGAAATGTGTTTCCCCCTGTTTGTTCAGAAACTCCAAAAACAATGCTCCGCAGATGCCGGAAAACCGCCAGGCCGAGTGTTAGGGGCGAGTAACACTCGTGGCTATCAAACCCAATCTCACCGTCTTTCTGTTGTGGATCGTACTTCTGGACTAAAATTTTTTTATTGGCACTGGAGCAGACGTTAGTGTTATTCCCCCGCAACCCACCGACACTCTCCCTCTTGGGAATTTTTATGAACTTACTGCTACAAACGGTACGAAAATACGTACGTTTGGACAACGTTTGCTGACACTTAATTTGGGATTACGACGTGAGTACTCTTGGATTTTTCTTATTGCGAATTTCGCCAGCCTATTTTAGGTGCGGATTTTTTACACATTTTAATTTATTAGCTGACTTGAAAAGTCGTAGCATCCAAGACGGTATTACTAAGTTATCTGTGTGCGGTGAACCTATCATTTGTTCCCAATCTGTTCCATTGTTATGGTCCACGCCTCATCCAACCTCCTATTCTTCCATACTTAGAGATTTCCCTAACCTGCTTAAACGCAATTTTCACCAGCCTAATCCCAAACATTCTGTAACCCATAGGATAGAGACTCGCGGTAACCCCGTTTTTGCTCGCCCCGACGTATGCCACCTGAACGCTTGCTCATCGCCAAAAGGGAATTTCAACACATGCTCCAACTGGGAATTATCAGACCCTCTCACAGTACTTTTGCTTCACCCTTGCATATGGTCCCTAAGTCAACGCCAAATGATTGGCGCCCCTGTGGTGACTATCGAGCCTTAAACAACTCCACTATCCCCGATAGATATCTCCTTCCTCATATCCACGATTTTACTGTAAACATTACCGGTTGTACAGTTTTCTCACACATTGACATTCTCAGAGCGTATCATCATATCCCTATTCACCCCGATGATGCGCACAACACAGCTATTACCACTCCTTTTGGTTTATTTGATATTTGCGTATGCCCTTTGGTTTAAGGAATGCTGCTCAGACCTTTCAACATTTTATTGACCAAGTTCTCCACAATCCGGATTTTGTATTCTGTTATTTAAATGATATTCTCGTAGCTTCCAAAACCCATGGTGAACACATTACCCATCTTCGCATACTGTTTCAACGCCTACAAGATCATGGCGTAATACTTAACGTTCAGAAATGCGAATTTGGTGTTTCCTCTTTAAATTTTCTCGGACATACGATTAATCAGCATGGCATTACTCCCGCACAACCTAAGCAAGACGCTATCACCACATTTCCGTGTCCCACTTCTCTTCGTCAACTGAAGCGTTTTCTTGGAATGGTTAATTATTATCGTCGTTTCATTCCTCATGCAGCCTTTATGTTGATGTCTTTGACAGACCTGTTGAGAGAAACTCACTCTGACTTTCATTTTTCTGAACAAGCTCAACAAGGATTTGAGAAAGCCAAATGTACCTTAGCGAAACAAGGTACCTTGTTTCATGTACGCCAAGGTGCCCCCTTGTCTCTCCACGTCGATGCATCTAACACTGCAGTAGGGGCTGTTCTTCATCAAACCGTTGACCACCAGAAACAACCACTTGGTTTCTTCTCCAAGATATTTCAGCCAACGGAGACGCGGTCTAGTGTATTTGGTAGAGAACTTTTGGCCATCTATCTAGCTGTGCGTTACTTCCGACATCTTTTGGAAGGCCGTGAATTTTGCATCTATTCAGACCATAAAGCCCTTGCTTCAGTCTTTTCTGCTAATCCTAACAAATATTCGCCCCGAGAGATTCGCCAACTTGATTACATCTCTCAATTTTCCACTGATATCCGGCATGTTGCCGGCAACCAAAACGTAGTCGCTGATACTCTGTCTCGGCCTGGTGTTGACTGTGTTTCCGCAATCAATTTACACCAGATGGCGAAGGCTCAGAAGACAGAATCATCCGAATCATTCTCATCACTCACTGAGAAATTTTCACTTGTGTTAAAACCACTCCCTCTCTAGACACAACCTGAAACAATCGAATGTCATGTTTCGACGCATGTACCACGTCCACTGGTACCACCATCTATGCGCCGACAGGTTTTTGAAACTTTTCACAATGTTTCACATCCAGAAATCCACCAATCCATCCGTCTCATCTCTGAACGATACGTATGGCCAAACATGAACAGAGACATCAAGGAATGGGCTGTAAATTGCCTTTCCTGTCAATGTTCTAAAGTCATCCGCCATACACACTCACCTTTCGGAACCTTGAGCAATCCCGATGCCCGTTTTGCTCATGTTCATTTGGACATTGGCGGTCCTCTTCCTGTGTCAAATAGCAACGCATATATCCTCACTTGTATCGATCGCTTTACGCGTTGGCCAGTCGCTATTCCTATACCTGACATTCACACGGAAACAATCGCTCGTAATTTCATTAACCATTTGGTCGCGACATTTGGTGTTCCAGCCACCATTACGACTGATCGCGGTTCCCAGTTTGAATCCATTCTTTTCTCAAACATTACCAACATTCTTGGATGCCAACGCATCCGTACCACAGCATATCACCTGCAAGCAAACAGCTTAGCGGAACGTTTGCATCGCCACATCAAAACAGCGCTAATGGGTCACAACAACCCATCTCAATGGTGTAATTTACTACCACTTGTGTTGTTACAGCTACGTACAATGTTTCGACAAACTTTGCAATACTCACCTGCAGAACTTGTTTTTGGAACCACTTTACGCCTGCCCGGCGAATATTTCTGTCCGTCTAGTACAGAACATCCACAACCATCTAATTTGGCAACAGAGTTGAAATTACACATGTCAAAACTCGGTTACGCACCTCCACCCTCAACCAGTACAAGTTCTTACGTTCCCTCTGACCTAATGCATTGCGCTTATGTTTTCATACGTTCAGATTGTGGGCGCAAACCCCTTCAACCACTGTACGATGGACCCTACCGAGT